CAAATATATTGTTATTGATGTCAGAGACGATGCAGAGAGAGCAAGAGAGAAGCATCACTGATGAGAGAGATCATGGATCGGCTGCCTCCTGCACACCCCACACTGGGGATGGAGCCCGCAACCTGGGCATGTGCCCTGACCGGGAATCGCACCGTGACCTCCTGGTTCATAGGTTGAAGCTCAACCACTGGGCCACGCCGGCCGGACTCGGCCTGGCTTTCGACCTGAGTTTCACCCCAGGGCTCCGTCCGGGGCCCCTCTCCACATCCACGACCCTTTCACCGGGGTGTGGAGGTGGGACATCGCAGGGGCCCACCCTTCCCGGGGCAGCCTGCGGGGGGAGTGTTTGGAGCTGAGGGTCTGAGACTCTGTCCGCCCTGTGTCTCCCCCTGTGGCTCACTGGGCAGGTGGACAGTCACTATGAAGGCTGAGGTTAAGGTCACCCGTTTCCCACCAGGGAAGGGGACGTGAGCGTCCAGGGAAGGGAGCAGGGGTGCCAGACAGATGGTGGGCTTCTGGAGGAGGCAGCCTTGAGTGTCTACCAGCCACGGAGAGAGGGAGCCCTGATCCGCCACAGGGGACACCCATGCGCTCAGCTGGGCTTCCTCAAAGCTCCTGACCCCCCAGAACGGCAATTTCCGGCCGTTCACCCAACGGAACCCTGCAAGGTGGGATGGAGGGAAAAGATTCCAAAAGGAGAGAAAATTGAACTCCGACTGGGAATTAAAAATTAATTACAATTAGACCGCCGTCTTTTCTGTTGTTGTTGTTAATCCTCACCCGAGGATATTTTCCCATTGATTTTTAGAGAGAGTGGGAGAGAGAGGGGAAGACAGAAAGAAACATCGATGGGAGAGAAACACATCGATGGGTTGTCTCCTGCACGTGCCCCGACCAGGGCCCGGGCCGGGGAGGAGCCTGCAACCTAAGTACGTGCCCTTGACCGGAATCAAACCCGGGACCCTTTGGTCTGCAGGCCGACGCTCTATCCACTGAGCCGAACCAGCCAGGGCTAGACTGTAATCTTTGAATCTCCATCTCAAAAAGCAGAGAGGGAAATCAGGCCAAATACACAGGAATTGTTGTTCTCTATTAAAAAAAAAAAAAAAAGTAACTTCAGCAGAGCTGAACTCTACACTCTGCAAAGGGGACTGGCCTCTTTCCATGCACAGATGTTGGGTCATCCTCAAACTATGAGAACTGCCTGTTCCCTCCAGCCCTCGGCCTCCACCTCCCCCTGAGACCTTGGCAGCCTCATCTCAGCTTCGAGACGGATCAAACAGTCTGGCGAGCGTGGCTCAGGGGTTGAGCAGTGACCTGTGAACCAGGAGGTCACGGTTCGATTCCCCATCAGGGCACACGCCTAGGTTGTAGGCTCCATCCCCAGTAGGGGGCGTAAGGAGGGAGCCGATCCATGATTCTCTCTCATCATTGATGTTTCTCTCTCTACCTCCTTCTCCCTTCCTCTCTGAAATCAATAAAAATATATATATTTTTTTAAGACAAGACAGAGCAAACAGAAAGCAGGCTAGGGCTCAGTACACAGCAAAGGGCAAGGACATGGGTCGGGGAGGCAGTAAAAGAGAAGTCTGTTTTCAACTGGGCAGAAATGCTGAGTTCATACGGCCCATTCAGCACACTGCCCTCCAGACTGGAATTATCCAAGAATCTCTGAACTTTAAATTCTTGCAGCCAACAGTTCAAAGTGCAGCAGTTGGGGGAAAGTAGAAAAATTCAATCTGTTCCTTTGTGGATGGCTCACCACCACCATCAGCAGCAGCAGCAGCAGCCTAAAGCAACAATTAGCCTCATTCATAGCGTGAACTCATGTACTCGGATAAGGCCAAGAAGCTATGTTCCTGCTTGTGGCTTGTAAAATTGAAACCCCCAAGCAGATGGCCCCAAATAGAACCATAGACCTAAACTGGGAAGAATTCAACCCAAAGCAGGTAATGACACCTGTGCCTACAAGGTGGTCCCTCCACATGAATCCCAAAGCCAATGATTTAAAGGAAAACAAGTCTAATTGTTTTAATAGCTTTTAAAAGAATAAGGAAAAGAATTGATAGAGGAATGCCCGGCCGGCGTGGCTCAGTTGGTTGAGCCTCGACCTATGAATGAACCAGGAGGTCAGGGTTCGATTCCCGGTCAGGGCACATGCCTGGGTTGTGGGCTCCATCCTCAGTGTGGGGCATGCAGGAGGCAGCCAATCGATGATTCCCTATCATCATGGATGTTTCTCTCTCTCTCTCCCTTCCTCTCTGAAATCAATAAAAATATATTAAAAAAAGAATCCGTTTCTGGTTTCTGGAGCACTGGCCTCCATTTTAT